TAAAAAAGTAAGGCAATTGTATGATAATACCTTTGTTATTTTTTGCCATTGTACTTTCTATCATATTCTTTTCCTCTTATATCTGAACTTGTTTTAGTGGACACGGGGATGTCTCTTAAAACCGCTTTATGGTTGAGAACAAAAGCAAATCTCTTCTTGGCCACGCGCGCTAAATGTGTGTGCTATACAGAATAACTGAAAGCGCATTTAAACAATTCAGCATCCGACGGCCTCAGCGCAACAATTGGACATAAGAAGTTTTTTTAGCTTTTTTAAAATATGAAAGACTGGAAAAGTGCACTGTGGCATTTTAAACAAATTTTATTCTTTCTCTCACCAGATAACTTTTTAGTAGCTACTGCATTCCTGTGCGTGAAGTCCTTTATCCTGAGTATAAAATGACACTACCGTGGGACCACGACAACAAACTTTGTAATTTTAATTGAGTGAGTGCACTGATTTGATAGAAAAATAAAAACTACCCGGTAACAAGTCTTCAACAGCTTAGGTTTAGTGAGCAAACTCTCTGGTTACCGATAACGATTCTTCGTATTGTGCAATTTTTCTTCACTTCTGTATTACCGAGTATGTCATAATAAAACTCAAGGAAATATGTGGGCACTTGTAGCCATTCAGAATTAGAATAGTTGTAATGCGCTCCCTTTTTAGGAGCCATTAACAAAATTATCTGTTGCGCTTCAGATTTTTTGTCTACTTTTGTCATGGTAATTAGCTTAATAACTGAGCTAGCGACCTATTGTTTGTGGTAAACCATGGAATAGACCACACTTCCTATCGTTTTACCGGCTTTACAGACTTTTCTCGTGCTCTCCAAACATCTCGCGTGGGTTATTACGCTGATTAGCTGATGGGTAGTGCTGTTTATTACTTAAGCTGTCGAATAGTTGTTTTAATGCCAATGTACATAATTTTTTATTAACTGAGCACGTGAAAGGATCGGTGTTTTGACCCACGGTAAGTACCTTGACTCCTTCCCTTCCGCTCTCAAATATCTTGGCTGTGTCATATTTCGTGCCAAATATTCTTAGATTTTATGTCATCTCATCTCTGATTGTGAGTTTGCGGGATAAAATCCGATCAAACTGCCCTAAGATATACCTAGTTACCCCTTCGCAACCTTTGTCTCAGCTGGCGATAGTTGATTGGTTAAAGAAACCTTCAAGTCCATTGTGCATATACCGCGGTCTTCTGACTACTTGTTCCGCTCCGCTGTCATTGAATTACAATCCCTATCAATAACATTCCTTTTTCTAAACAATTTGCCGTAGGGTTTTTAGGCGAAAAATGTGCCAGTTTGGAAGTAGTTGTAATTTTTTAGCAGACTCTATTGGGACAAAGACCGGTGCTTGAAGATGAACAGGAAAGTTTTTGTTGGCAGACATCAAAATCTTTAGGTTAAAAAGATTATAGCACATGTAACAGGAAACAGAGCGAGGAAATAAACAAGGAACACCAGAAGTTTTAAAACAAAGCTCAACGTCGTTTTTTTCTTCGTTAAATTCCAGAAGTCATTCATTCATATTTTGCGTTGTACTTAGGCATTGGCCCATGGCGTGACTATCTTAATCTATAACAAGCAGTATCTCATCACAACGCGTGTATATTTAATTGATCGGAAGTATATACAATCTCTGCGGTCAGCCAGGCCAACACGCTGCTCAAATTACGGACAGATACGCAAACGCAATTACTTATTAACAAAATAAACCTATCAATCGACAAAATGTCGATTATGTCTGCCGGGGTTTATTTCTTTATCGCCTCTTACAGTAACTACAGACACAGAAGCGGTGAACGCGTCAAGGTTTGACCTTTACAGCTTTTATTCAAATACAACTAAGCAATAGTACTTAGTTAAATATTTTAGAAGCTCCGAAACCCACCTCAAACAAATTTTCGGTTATAAAAGGGAAGTATAAACACAAACCCTCGTGTCAATCACAATTGATTGGGCCTTTGCCTATAAACACAAATCCTTGTGTATCTGAAGGAGAGAGAGTTAGTGAATAAGTAAGTTCTACTTTTTATTCAAAAATACATTAAATGAGACTGAGCCATTTCATGCTGCTTCCTTCATCTTGTTGATTGTGGTAACGTGCTGTATTATCAAACTCCTCCACGTGGTAAGAAACATGCATTAGCATTTATCACTATGTGTTTTTTTAATTGTATAATTTCAACCCAACTGTTGCATACCAAAGTGACGGCGGCAAGAAAAACCGGAAGTGGCAGTACTTTTTCCGGTTTTTCCCCAAATTTTGATTACGTAAGGTAAGAACTTATAAGTCAAAACTTTCAAGCACTTTAACGAACAACTCCCGCCATCAAAATCGCTTATCGGTGGCCTAGCGCATCATGTGAACTCAGAAATCTTTGAACATCGAAAATAAAATACATTTCATATCATGAAAGTTCACCTAGAATTCAATCATTTGCAGTCAACTATGACTAACCGTTGAGCAAATCATGAATACTGACAAAAGGAAAAAAGGTTTCCTCCATCGAAAGGCACGCACGCTGGCTTTTAGGCACGCCAGCATTCTGATAAAGGAACTTAACAAAGGTTTGGCATTACCTTAATCGATTAAGTAACAAATTAGCACTGAGAAATTTGGTTGATTTTTTAAAATGTTGATTATTCAGTCTGAAATATATTAACCCAACTGAACATGAATTGATGACCTTTCGTGACGGATTTGGTCTATATCGGCCTTTCTATGGTGGTCATTTAATAGATAATATCAATCACGATGATCGCTTAGACATTTTCTAAATAGGTTGGCGAAACTCCGCTTTGAGGCAAATATCGACCACAATTGATTAGGCCCGTGTCTTTCGTTCAAAATATATTTTTTTTTTCTTTGCTGGGCTCTTCTTTATAGGGTTGTTTCAATTTCGTGGCAGGAACTGAACCGTCATGGAGACTGAGCTACTTAATGCTGCTTGCTTCATTTTGATGGTTGTGGTAACGTGCTGTATTATCAAACTCCTCCACATGGTAAGAGACATGCAGGCACCAGGGAATCAAGGAGCTACTACAGAACCCACCAGAACCATCCATGACCAGAATGCCCTAGGAACAGCTAGGGAACCCACTCTTCGTCATAGCGGAGCTGTAGAAAGGATGGAACATCACGGAAATACAACCGCCGGCGGTGTAACTGCAAGACGACATCCACAAGAACAAGACGAACGTTTTTCGTAAAAAAAGTAAGACAATTGAATGATAATGGATTTTTTTATTTTTGTCATCGTACTTTCTATCCTATTCGCCTTCTTCTCTTAAATCTGCACTTGTTTTGGTGGACGCTGGGATGCTAGTTATAACCACTTTCACGATTGGGAACAAAAACAAATCTCTCCTTGCCACACGCGCTAAATGTGTTTGCTATACAGAAAAAATAAACAATTCAGCATCCGACGGCCTCGGTGCAACAATTGGACATAAGACTGGAAAAGTGCATTTTGATATTTTAAACAAAGTTTACTCTTTCTCTCGCCAGATAATTCTAAGTAGCTACTGTGTTCCTGTGCGTGACGGCATTATCCTAAGTATAAAACAACACTACTGTGGGACCACGACAACAAGCTTTGTATTTTTGATTGAGTGAGTGCATTGATTTTATAGTAAAATAGACACTAGCTGGCAACAAGTCTTCAATAGTCTAAGCTTTAGTGAGCAAGCTCTCTAGTTACCGATAACAATCCATCGGAATGTGCAATTTTTCGTCACCTCTTTAACATGTCATATAAATTTTAGGAAACATTACAAACTTGTGGTCATTTAAATTTAGATTAGTTGTAATGCGTACCTATTTTGACGAGCCCATCAACGACATTATCTGATGGGTTTAGAGTTTTTGTTTACTTTTGTCATGGAATGTAGCTCGGTTGGAAATGATATAATTATTCTGGAATACTGCATTTCATAATATAACTAAGCTATTGACCCTCTGTTTATCGTAACCCATAGAATAGACCACACTTGCTATCGTTTTACCAGCTTTACAGACTTTTCTCGTGTTCTCCAAACATCCCGCGTGGGTTATTACTTTTCTCGTGTTCTCCAAATATCCCGCGTGGGTTATTACTTTTCTCGTGTTCTCCAAACATCCCGCGTGGGTTATTACTTTTCTCGTGTTCTCCAAACATCCCGCGTGGGTTATTACTTTTCTCGTGTTCTCCAAATATCCAGCGTGGGTTATTACTTTTCTCGTGTTCTCCAAACATCCCGCGTGGGTTATTACTTTTCTCGTGTTCTCCAAACATCCCGCGTGGGTTATTACTTTTCTCGTGTTCTCCAAACATCCCGCGTGGGTTATTACTTTTCTCGTGTTCTCCAAATATCCCGCGTGGGTTATTACGCTGATTAGTTGATGGATAGTGCTGTTTATCAGCTAATGCTGATATACAGTTTTGACATAATTCGTTCTAATAACCCTTGCACCTCTATCATGCTACTCCTGTAGATAGATTTTAGCTGTACGTTGCAAAATTACTAATCTGTTTCTACCGATGATGTTTATCATTCCGTTTTGAGGTTAAGTAGAACGGCCTATAGGAACAGTATAAGGAATCTTTAGTATACCATTTGAGGAAATCTTATGGGTCTTATTTCCTGAAGAACTAGGCTGAAGAACGGACAGTAGGAAACCGCAGGAGGTGATCATTGTTAGTATTAGGAATGTTTAGTATGTCATGTGTCGTATAGTCGTTTTAATGCCAATGTATTCAATTTGTATTAACTAAGCACGTGAAAGGTAAAAATAAACTTATAAATGGAAAAAAATGTTGATTATTTCTGCTGGGGTTTATTGCTTTAATGCCTCTTGCAGTAACTATAGACAAAGAAGCGGTTAAGGTTTGACCTTTACCGCTGTTTTTTCAAATACATTGATAGAGTCTCCAGAACCAGAAGTGAGTAAGATCGCCTGTGTACAAACGTTCTTTTCGGAAGCTGAACCAGAGCGCTGAATGGCTTCTCTCTCTTGGATACTTTGTTCCTGGTGTTCCATCAATTTATCAGATGGACACAGTTCGTCACAAATTTCACAAGGTAGAGCAACAATGCTGTTGTCTTCACTTTCGGTTTCGATACTGTCATGCGAGTCAGAGCTTGTGAGCGTTCGTACCATTTCACGTAACACACCATCGTGTTAGTGGAAGGAGTTGTAATTTTTTAGCAGACTCTATTGGGACAAAGACCGGTGCTTGAAGATGAACAGGAAAGTTTTTGTTGGCAGGCATTTAAATCTTTAGGTTAAAAAGATTATAGCACATGTAACAGGAAACAGAGCGAGGAAATGGCGCGAAAATAAACAAAGGAACATCGGAAGTTTTAAAACAAAGGAACACCGGAAGTTTTAAAACAAAGCTCAGCGTCGTTTTATTCTTCGTTAAATTCCAGAAGTCATTCATTCATATTTTGAGTTGTACTTAGGCATTGGGCCATGGCGTGACTATCTTAATCTATAACAAGCAGTATCTCATCACAACGTGTGTATATTTAATTGATCGGAAGTATATACAATCTCTGCGGTCAGCCAGGCCAACACGCTGCTCAAATTACGGACAGATACGCAAACGCAATTACTTATTAACAAAATAAACCTATCAATCGACAAAATGTCGATTATGTCTGCTGAGGTTTATTTCTTTATCGCCTCTTAAAGTAACTACAGACACAGAAGCGGTGAACGCGTCAAGGTTTGACCTTTACAGCTTTTATTCAAATACAACCAAGCAATAGTACTTAGTTAAATATTTTAGAAGCTCCGAAACCCACCTCAAACAAATTTTCGGTTATAAAAGGGAAGTATAATAACTAGCTGTCTAACCAGGTCGCGGAAAATGTTTGCTATGAGATCATAAGGGGCTCCTTCCATTGTAAAATTCGCAAAAGGGAAGGGGTCATCTCCTCTCCCGTTGTTCAACCGATCCTGATGGAGTCTCGAGAACTGGAAGTGATTAAGATCGCTTATGAACAAACGTTCTTTTCGGAAGCTGAACCAGAACGATGAACGCCTTCTCTCCCAATTGGATACATTGTTCCTGGTGTTCCATCAATTTATCAGGTGGACACAGTTCGCCACAGATTTCACAAGGCAGAGCAACGATGCTGTTGTCTTCACTTTCCGTTTAAACTGATTGTCATGCGAGTTCGAGCTTGTGAAATTGTCAGGCGTTCGTACCATTTCACGAAACACACCATCGCTATCTTCTACAACGAGAGGGATTTGAGCACCTTCTGTTTCCTCCAGACGCTGGCATTCACGTTGATGAGCATCAAGTTCATCTTGCTGAATCAGCGATCCACAGAATTCACAAGGCAAAGACATAGGCAAATCGTGTTGCCGATCGTTCATTCCCCCGTCGCATGCGCTATCATGGTCTATAAAGTCCCTAACTAAGACATATCGACTACACTTGTGGCAGAATTCCGTTCTGGTTTGGCAGAATTCCGTTCTGGTTCCGCAGAATTCCTGGTGCTCTGACATTCTTTCTCTGGGTAGCCTCAGTTCACAATAATGGCAAGTAATTGGTCGCTTTCCACACTCGTAAGCCAAATGATTGCCTTCTTCACTTCTCGTTGTTTTTTGTCCGCACTGAACACAGTTTATTTGCGCATGATTCTCCTCGAAGTGTTCTTTCTCTTTGCTTCTTTGTATCGCTTCTCCGCACAGCGAACACAATTTGAGGTTTCTTTTGCAGTGTACGAAGTGCATTTCGTAATTTTTGAAAAAACTCGTCTGTTGTTATTTTCACAAATCGATCCTTCGTTGTCCATGTTTGTGACGTGTTATTTTAAATCTCCTTATTTTTGCTGATGGACGGCCGCTTGATTTCAGTCCGAGTAGAATGACACTGCTAGATCATTGTTTGTGTAGAAAATCGGTGAGAAAAGAAATTTCTACATATACACAAACATGGCCCATGTCTGAAATATGCAAATTTAACTCTTAAAGTTCTTGTGTAATCAGTCAAGTTCGCGACCAAATATTCATCATCATTTGTACATCGGTTTTTCCCTCTATGTTACCAGTCTCTATTTCCCTAAACAATAGATTGATGTGTTGATTGATGTGTTGGTTGACTTTCTTTTCTAAATAATGATCACGTGGATCTTTTAATTCTTTCAAGGTTCATTGAGTAGACCACTTTTACGTGGTTCCCTTTACGAGCAGAAGCTCTATTTATTGCTTTGATTAGACGATTTCAGTCAGAGATTTACAGTTTAGAATAATGTCAGTAATTGAGATCGTGAGCCTCGCCTGTCTGTTTATTTTGTTCTTAACAATGTTTTTCGTCGTCAAGAACCACTTTGTCTTGATGCGGTTGGGGCAGCAACGAGCGGAGGAGGACGGTGCCATGATGAATGTACAAGACAGAACGAATTCGAATTCGACAGCTAACACGCCTCTACAGCCTAGAGTGGGTGAGATGGCTCCCATAGGGATGCATGTTATGCCGCATCAGAGA